TTTGTTTCCATACTGGACCAAGGAGTGCAGAATTGATTTTTTTCTAAAATTATTATTACAGCTTCTGGTGTAAATGGTCAACTTTTGGCAAATTTTTAAGTGACACATGTAGAATTAAGTGATTTTAATGAAATATCACAATTTACGCCTTAGGTTTGGTTCATTTTCCCACCAGAACTACTTGGGCGGCTGTGGCTCAGTGATCGGAAGATCGGTGGTTCGATTCCGCCCTGTAACCTGTGTCGTGGTCGTTGTGTCCTTGGGCACCTTGCCTGGTGTGAATGTGTTTGAATGGATTGTTTGAGGTGGTGGTCGGAGGGGCAGAATGAAAGCCACGCCTCTGTCAGTCTGCCCCAGGGCAGCTGTGGCTACAATCGTAGCTACCACCACCGGAATGAATGTGTGTGAATGAATAATTGACAGTGTAGAGTGACTGGAAAAGCCTATATAAGTCTGATCAGTTATATCACATGAGTTGTTTAACTGTCAGAAAGTTGACAATCCAATGATTCCTTCTGTTTTTTAAGAGATAACATGCTTGTTTGTCCCTCCCCATCTGTAATGGTTTAACCTCTGAAGACCCGAGCTCTTGTTTGATATGCATTTTGTATTTTTCTTTGCTATTTGATCAGATCAAACCGTAAAGAGAATAAAAATAAAGAAAATATATAAAGAAAATAAAAATATATTTTAAAAAATATGATATAATTATATATATATATATATAAATTAAAATAAAAACAATTACAAAATATTTTAAAAATTCAACTACTGTGGTAATACAACCTAAAATGTGATTTCCATGCATGGACACCAGGGCTTCAGCGGTTAAAGGCACCTGATTGTACTGGTGAACCAGCCCCTTATTCACATATGAGCATCTGATAATACACGTCATCCTACACTTTGATTATTGATAATAGTTATTATATTTCTGGTGTTACAAGAATTATGATTTTATTTTATTTTTTTAACTATTGTTGTCTGAAAACGGTGAAAACTCTTCCTCACAAATTCCGGGAAGTTTGTAATATTGTTCCANCGATACATTACGGAAACCTTATGAATACCTGAAACCTGAAACCGTGATGCTAAAGGACGACACTGACGTGTCTAAGTTCAGAACACTTTGCTGCTGCATTTGCATTGAAGCAGCGTCTTTAGAGACCCAACGAAATTACGCAACACTTCAGAAGTTTTTACGCGAACAGAACTGGACAGAAACACAACCGTGCGGATGATGAATGCAGACAGACGTTTTGCGTGCGTAGACAGTTTTTTTTTTTATGTGCTTTCTCTTCAAATACACACATGGGCACACGTCCACAAACACACAACACTCTTCATCCATTACATCTGGCCTGGAGCGGGCCAGACCATGTGAGCGTGGGGGCGTGTTGGCAGACACAAGGTGTTGGTAGGCAAATACACACCGAGAGACAGACAGAAGTGGTGGAGAGGGGGGGAGAAATAAAAAAAAAAAGGAGAAGGGAAAAGACAGAAGAACAGACGGGACAAAGTGAGCATGTGTCTGAGAAGTGGATGACGCAGCAAGAAAAGGAGACGGAGGAGAAATCCCCGAACAACCGAGCCAGCTGAGGGGGCCGAGGCTGGACGGACAGACAGAGGACTGGATGGATGGACAGCAGAGGGACATGTGTGGATGTCATCTGGCCATCAGTCATGCACAGAGAGAGGGGGGGTGAGAGCTCCAGGGAGGACCCAGGGTGGGGGCCTGAAGCCTAATCCCAAAAACAGCTGTGTGTAGCGTGGAAGGGGAGGGAGGGTGGGTTCTTGGGAGACGGGTGCTCTCTCATGGCCCATCACATCCTCTGACCCCTGCAACGTCAACAGCTTCTTGTCGGGCCTCAGTCGCCGTAACCCGGGCCCCTTCTCAAGCTCTTCTTGTGGCTCCACCGACGAGAGGCCTCATGTTTGACCCGATCCCGTGGACCTTCTGCACCCCGAACACGAGGCTCGGCTTCCACGAAGGCGCCGTAAATCACTCACAGATACTGTCGATCGGCGATACGCGATCCAGCCCGAGCTGCCACCGGCTCTCTTGACGACTCTTTTTTCCTCCAAGATAACCAAAGCTGCAGCAGGGACGCTCGAGAGAACCGAGCACACATTTCAGATTTTAGGAGGATCTAGTCCAACCTTAAAAGAGGCTCAGATGTGTGCAAGTGTGAATGTTAAAGCGTCAGACAGTGAACACAGGCCGGGATGCTGGAAAAAATGCTATTTTGAATTCACTTAAAATCAGTTTCAAGTGGATATGTTGGTTTAGTTTTTTTATTTGATCGTTCTTTTCTGGATGAATCTTGCCTTTTTTGGGTGGATTTGGATCTTGGAAAGCTGAAAGAGAGTGAGATGGCACATGACATGCAACAAAGAGCCATGCCCAGAACCGAAACACGAACATAGCTTACACCGAGATTACATCGATGTTTGCTTTTGTTAAGCTGCTAAGCACATTTCCATCCACCTGTTTTTCATTTTCCAATAAAAACCTGAAAGGAAACGCCAAATTTCTGGAGGGGAAAAAAAAAATAACACGTTGAAACAAAGTTTTTATCCTCGGCTGAGGTGGAAAAGATCGGTGTGTCAGACGCAAAATATAACCGAATGCAATGGAGCCACAGCGAATTAGCAAGAAGTCCTGCACATCTGTGGAAACAACACAACTATGGCTAGATTTTGTCCAATATGATACAGCTGTAAGGTCATAAATCATGAGAAGAATTGAAAAAAAAATAGAATCAATATGTACAATACTCTACTAAGTGTTCACTTGTGTTAGCAATACCAGGGAAAACAATGTCTCCACAAGCTGTAGATATGTTGCTGTTTACATTTTTACAACCTCTACAAATACTACTCAGCACACCAACTGCAGAAAGATATTTCACCATGCTGAATGTATCTTCCAACAGTTTGCCCTGTATACTGTTTATAAGCCATGCTGCATTTATGTCACTGCTTGAAGTACGTTTTATTTCTCCCTAGCTTTCTACTTTGTTTCCATACTGGACCAAGGAGTGCAGAATTGATTTTTTTCTAAAATTATTATTACAGCTTCTGGTGTAAATGGTCAACTTCTGGCAAATTTTTCAATGACACATGTAGAATTAAGTGATTTTAATGAAATATCACAATTTATGCCTCAGGTTTGCTTCATTTTCCCACCAGAACTACTGGGCGGCTGTGGCTCAGTGATCGGAAGGTCGGTGGTTCGATTCCGCCCTGTAACCTGTGTCATGGTGGTTGTGTCCTTGGGCACCTTGCCTGGTGTGAATGTGTTTGAATGGATTGTTTAAGGTGGTGGTCGGAGGGGCAGAATGAAAGCCACGCCTCTGTCAGTGTGCCCCAGGACAGCTGTGGCTACAATCGTAGCTACCACTACCGGAATGTGTGTGAATGAATAATTGACAGTGTAGAGTGTCTTTGAGTGTCTGGAAAAGCCTATATAAGTCTGATTAGTCATATCACATGAGTTGTTTTAAGTTGACACTCCAATGATTCCTTCTGTTTTTTAAACCATTGCAGTGGGGAGGGACAAACAAGCATGTTATCTCTTAGAGGCGCCTCATTGTACTGGTGAACCAGCCCCTAATTCACATATGAGCATCTTATAACACACGTCATCCTACACTTTGGTTATTGATACTAGTTGTTATATTCCCTATTATGACTTTTTTTTTTTTTTTTTTTTAACTATTGTAGTCCGTAAAATGCCTGAAAACGGTGAAACCTCTTCCTCACAAATTCCGGGAAGTTTGTAATATTGTTCCATCAATAATCCTAAACTTAAAAATCATCTGCTGATCATTGTTGAAACGATTTGTGACGACATTTTTTGTAAACTGACTGAATTAGAGACTAATTGCAAAAAGGTTTCATTCGGTGGCATTTGAGTTGGATTATTAGTTGGTGCAGTTTGCAAACCCAAAGCTGGTAATAAACAAGATCAAGAGTGTAACACAGTGTGCTGTTGCTCCGCCTCACTGTGTGGCTCTTGTTCAGCATCACTGTGTCATTTGCAGTAAACAGTTCAGAGAAGTGCTGTGCTTAAACTTCCAAGAATTCTGAATTTATATCAGTATTTGCTCTGTCCTTCTCTCTTTGCAGTCTGTTTGCAGGCAGCATCCCGAGGATAACCTTCATCAGCGTGGGCGGTTTCATCTTCCTGGGAGCGTACGAGAAGGTTCGCCGTACTTTGTTGTAGCAGCGTGACTGTCCCGAGCCTCGGCCTGATGGAGGAACAGCAGGGACAGTGTGTCTGGAAGTAGCACCCTCGTCTTTTGGATGCAACCTCCACATGCTGCCGGGCCCTAAATAGCAAGCAGCACTTGTTACTGAGAGGAGGAGTGGTCGGTGAGACTGCATTACCCAGAATGCCGTACCCCTGCTCTTTAGCGCTCTGAGTCGAACGGCCTCTTCTGCAGCAGCATCAGCGATTAGTTAAAATGAAGCTCTGCTCTGTTGAACAAGACCAGCATGTGTGATTTTTTAATGTATGTGTGAGCGAATGATTGCGCCATTAAAGACTGTCTCTTTGTTATGCTCTGAGTGAGGTTTGCTGATTTCTTTGGCTCCCTGTGGACCTCTGTTGGGTTCCAGTCTGACACGGTTTAATGATCATTTTAGTGTTTCATCCATATTTTCTTGTCTCCATTAAGCCACTTGAGTAAAAGACGCACCATGGAGACGCTGGTGTCTCACCCACTGCTACATCCCTGATGGAGCACAACTCACCTCATCCACCTGCAGGAGGGTTTTGTTTTCCGTAAGATGTCTCCAACGTCTTGTTGAGTTACTACTGCCTTTGCTTGATCAAGAGGCCCGGCTGTTTTACTGAAGCTTTTTTTCAGTGACAGTTCAGGATTGATCTGTCATGGCTTTATTTAGAAATATTTAATTGGATGGAAAAGCTTCTCCAGTTATGATGGGGACCTTTTCTTCCTTCTTTTTGCCTTATTTAAGTCAACTTGATGTCAGTCGTTGATGATTTGATGTGATTTTTTTCTGAAGTGGGTCTATGTATTTGAAGTACGGCTGCATGATACTCACCAGATGACTTAAATAACTTGAATAAATATTCTAGACTGATTGTTATACTTGTGCATCAATGATAACAAATTACGTTTTAAAGGTGACAAAAGCAACCTTGTCTAACACACTTAAAATCATTCAGAATTGTTCTGCTTTTGGATCAGATCGGTCTTTGTGTTCCTCGTGCAGAGCTTCCTGATTTAAATGGTGAAACAAATTAGTTGTGTTGTCACGTGTGGTGGCAACAACTGCATGACAAGGCAAATATGCAGTTTTGGTAATAAAATCTGTGGGTGAAGTATTTCCATACACCTGGCA